GGGGGCGGAGGCGCCTCAGGCCGGCCGGGGTTTGCGGCGCTGTCCTCAACTCGCGGCTCCTTTGGCCGGTGGCGCGGCAGCCATGCAGCCCCCGCCCCCGGGCCCGCTGGGCGACTGCCTGCGGGACTGGGAGGATCTGCAGCAGGACTTCCAGAGCATCCAGGTGAGCGCCGCTGCGGGCGCCCAGTGCCCCGAGCCACGTCTCTCTGGCCTGGGGTCAAGGGTCGGGCAGCCCCGGTCAGGCAGCGGGGAGCTCAGGGTCAGGGGTCGGGGGCTCTGGCGTCGCTCCCGGGGGTGGCGAGGCCCCGGGTGCCCCTGTCCCTGGCGGGCTCCTCCTGGATGTCTGGTGGCAGCCACATTCGCCCGCGCAGCCGCCGCGACCCTGGCGGGACCCCACTGCGCCGGGCGACCTCGGCCTCCCGCTAGGGCCCTGGATCTCGCGGCTGCCCCCGGTCTCAGCACCGGCCCCGGAACCCGACCCCGTCCGCTCCCAGGAGAGCTGCCGGCTGAGTCAGAGCCGGCCGGCCCAGCCTTGGGTCATCACTCAGCAAACACGCCGCGGGCGCCCGCCCTCGGCGGCTCCGGGCTGACTGCTGGGGGGAGCAGCCGGAGGCAGCCCGGCCTGGCCGGGGAAGCGGTGTTTAGGTGAAGTCCTCGGCCTCGATGGGGGCGGGGCCGTCCTAGACAGAGAGACAGCGTCCACCAAGGTCTTTAGATGGGAAAGAAGTGACTTGGCAGGCCCATGTGGATGTTGCAAGGAAATGGGAAGGGAAAAGTGGGCGGGTCCCTACAGGGACCAGTCCTGGGCCTGGCTGAGATGAGTCTCTCTGACGCCAGTGGGAAGCCACGGGAGGAATTCTGTGGATCGGGCTCATATGGAACACTGGCTTTTCTGTCCAGGGGCCAGGGAGAAGGAGGCTGCTCCAGGCAGGAGAGAGTGTGGCTGTGGGTGGACAGAGGTGGCATATGCTTGGGTTTGAGGGGGTGTGGTGGCCCCTCCTGGGCATGAGAAACTAGACTCAGAGTAGAGCCCAAGCCAGCTGGTGACTTGGTTAGGCCTTTGCCTCTCCTGGACTGTTTCCAGCCCCTTCCTGTCTCCATTGAAACCCAGCTGCCCCCTGGCCCTGCCAAGCCTGCCACTGTTAGTGCTTCTCCCAAGTCCTGAGGACCCTGCCTGGCCTCTCCGCACTGCTCCTTGCCCAGTCTTTAGTCTGCACCTTCTCGAGACTCACCAGGGCAAAGTGCTCAAGGAAGCCTTGGGCCAAAGGTGTTGGGGAGGGGGACTGGCCTTATAGCAGGAGGTGTAAGGACTGAAATCTGATGACCTTTAACCTGGGAGGAAGACATTGGTAATGTCTGAGCCCAAGTCACTTTGGATAACCCACTCCCCATGTACGTGCAGGCTGGAGAGGCAGGAGGCACTGAGAGAGTAGGGGTGGCTTCCAGCAGCCTGCTAGCTCCAGAAGCTGGACCTGTGGGCCTAGAACCCAGATTCAGGGAGGACAGAGAGCCTGTGGAGGGGTGGGGACAACTAGTAGATAGGCTGACACTAAGAACACCTTCAGGAACTAATCTGTTGCTGGGGGATGGGTACCGTGGGGGCCTCTGGCTTGCAGGAGCACACCTGGCTCCTTGTTGCCTTGTAGAGACAGCAACCTCAGGGAGGTCACTGGGTGGACACAGCAAGTTCTGCTGCCTTTGCTGTTGAAAACCTCCTAGGGAGCCCTGGAGTAGCTTGTGCCCCACGCCCTGCTTAGCCGGCTCTGGCTCAGTGGCTCCCCAACAGCCTGTGCCTTCTCCCATCTGGCCCCCAGGAGACCCACCGGCTGTACCGCCTGAAGCTGGAGGAGCTGACCCAGCTGCAGAACAGTTGCACCAGCTCCATTGCTCGGCAGAAGAAGCAGCTCCAGGAGCTGGCCCTCGTCCTGAAGAAGTTAGGACCCTCCCCTGACCCCCAACCTCACCTTGGGCTGGGTGTGTTGTGTCTAACCTGTGGGGTGGAAGAGCTGGCCCTGACTGGGACCCTGGGCACAGCTTCTCCCCTCCTGGACTTCGTTTGCTCTTCTACCCCATGGGTGTCAGGTACGACACCTTGGAGCTTGCCTGTTCTGACTCTCTCTGGCCCCAACTGCAGATGCAAACCCTCACTCTCATCAGAGGCCAAGGAGGCTGCGCAGGAGCTCGAGAACCAGATGAAAGAGCGCCAAGGCCTCTTCTTTGACATGGAGGCTTATTTGCCCAAGAAGAATGGGTGAGGGCCCCACACTCCCATCCCCAGCTCCGTTCACAGCCACTCTTGGGAGAGAGGCCTGGCGCTGGGTGCTTCCACTCCTTGGTCATTCAATTGGCAAACGTCCTCTGGACCCACTGTGGGCTGAGCAGTCAGGCACAGTCTTGGCATCAGGGGAGACAACCTGATCGATGGTGACAGCTCACTGTGATAGGTGCTTTGTGGAGAAGTATAGGCAGTTGGAGGGGGGGGCATGGTGAGGACACCTAATCCGGCCCAGGAGGTCGGCGAAAGCTTGCTGAGCTGAGTCCTAAAGGACAAAGAGTGACAGACAGACACGGGAAGGTGGGTGACATCAGGGAGTGCCAAGGCAGGAGGAGAGGTGCAGCGGCAGCTGTGAGACCAGAGGCACGCCTGGCTGCAGAGCTCACCCTGGGCCCAATAGGCAAGGGAGACTGATGGGCACACATGCACTAGAAAGATCAACTGCTATCACCAAGGAAGATAGACAGGGACAGTGCAAAACCCTAGGCCGAGCAATCCCAGCAGAGGAAACTGCAGGCACAGAACGTGTCCCAGAAGGCAAGGAGTAAAGCAGGGTCAGTAGTCTCAGATCAGGGGAGCGCGGTCCCCAGGAAGGGGAGGTACTTTCTGGATGTCAGGGGACCTTGTAGAGAAGCACTCGGTAGAGCGATGACGAAGTTGGGATGGAGGGTGAGGAAGGCACTGAGGAGGAGACAGCCAGGTTTAGGCAGCTGCCTTCAGAAGCATGGCTGGGAGTGGAAGGAGGGAATTCATAACTAGAAACCGTAACTAGAAGTTAGCTGAAGGGTTGAGGGCAGCTTCTGCTTGGCTGTAGGTGTTACCTTGTACACAGGAGACTTGGGTCTATCCACCTGCTGAGAGGAGGAGGCAGATGGAGGCACAAGACTCAGAGAAGGACAGTGGGTGACAGAGATGGAAGAGACGGGAGGGGGCCCTCATTTTGACAGGAGGGTGCGGAGGTTGGGGAGGAGGTGGGCAGAGATGTCAGCTGCCAGGCTGTTTTCTGTGTGGCGCTGCTGCAGGCAAGGCTGGCAGTGGAAGGAGATGGGTGGAGGGTTTGGGAGAAAAGACTTGAAGTGTTACTGCTGGGAAGGGTTAGGGAGCTGAGTGGTGATGTCAGCAGCCTGGTGGGCTGGCAGTGGGAGCTGGAGGCTGGGCCTGGGTGAGAAGGTTGTCAGCTCACTGGGCTGGTTGGAGGCCCGCCCTGCCCCATAGTCTTTTTGCAGCCTTGGGCAAGTCCCTGAACCACTCTGAACCTCTGTCCCTATGGGTTGAGTGTGAACAGGAGCACATGTGTTGGGTGCAGCTGCTTAGTAAATGACTGTGACTTTGCTGTCACCTCTTGGAGTTTCTCTGGCAGAGAAGGACAAGACGAGCTTAGTGGGTGGGTGTGATAGAAATGCCAGGAGGCTGGGAGCTACGGGGATCGGCAGGAACGTGCTGGAAATGTGGAGGAGGGCAATCGGGAAGGGAGACCTGGGGCAGGAGAGCGTGGGAGGCCTCAGGAGGGGGGAAGGGTCCTCGCAGTGGGAAGAGACAGGCCAGGTGTCCAGGGTCAGGATTCAACCAGAGCGAGCTCCGAGTTTCCAGGCTATTCTGGGCTGAGAGGAGGTCCAGGGTGTGGCCATGGGTCACTGAAATGGACTCAGGACTGAAAGTTCCATGGAGCTGTGGGGTAGGTGGTGGTGGTCATTGCACAGGTGTTGGGTCCACTGCCTGGGCCCAGGGAGTATTCTGGGATGTGGAGATGGCTTCAGTAGGTGGGGGAGGTAGAATTCTCTCAAGGCCCTGAGGTGGGGAGCTTTGGTCAGGGTTCTGGAGCAGGCAGGACAAAAGGCTGGGTGTCGTGTGGCACCCCCAAGGTCAGAACCAAAGCTTAACACCATGGGGAAGGCAGCCAGCTGGGGGGCGTGGGCCCGACTCAGGTCCAGTTCACTCGGGGCTCTGGGTTCTGTGCCCTGTGCCATTTGGCTTCTCTGTCACTCAAGGCCTCTCATCACCCTGTCTTCCTCTCCCCTAGGTTGTACCTGAGCTTGGTCCTGGGGAACGTCAATGTGACACTCCTGAGCAAGCAGGCTAAGTAATTGGTTACCACGGGCTGTGCTCAGCCCAGCTCTCCACCCCTCCCGACTGCTTCCCACTCTGCCCTGACTTCCCTTGGCTAAGCCTTGGGGTTCAGGGGCTGCTCCCCCATGCCAGCCCCTGCCAACTGTGGACATGTGTCTGGAGCAGGAGCTTCCCTCCTGGGGCGGAGGCGAGGCGGGCGCCGCCAGCCTGTCCCACGAGCGTGTGCCCCCAGGTTTGCCTACAAAGACGAATACGAGAAGTTCAAGCTCTACCTCACCATCATCCTCATCCTCATCTCCTTCACCTGCCGCTTCCTGCTCAACTCCAGGTGGGCGTCCTACTGCTGGGGCCGGAGCCTGCGCCCTCTCAGGCTCTCTGGAACCAACCCTCTGTGCTCCTCCCAGGGTGACAGACGCTGCCTTCAACTTCCTGCTGGTCTGGTATTACTGCACCCTGACCATCCGTGAGAGCATCCTCATCAACAACGGCTCCCGGTGGGCAAGGGCGCCAGCCCCACCAGCTCCTCCTGGGGGGTGGAAGCCATGGGGTGGGGGATGACCCACTGGGACACAGGAACTGGGCGGGGGCACTGGATTCTCCCTTCAGACCCCTTCCCGTCCATGAGCACTGGTCCTGCTGGGGGGATGGGGCGTGACAGTGGCTCCCTGATGCAGGATCAAAGGCTGGTGGGTTTTCCATCACTACGTGTCCACGTTCCTGTCAGGAGTCATGCTGACATGGTGAGTGGCCCAGGCCTCCACTGGTGGGAGCTGGGACAAGGAGAGAGATGGTGGTCCCAAGCCTCCCAAACCTCCCTCTGCTTTCTACCTCAGGCCTGATGGTCTCATGTACCAGAAGTTCCGGAACCAATTCCTGTCCTTCTCCATGTACCAGAGTGAGTGTCTAAGAGGTCCCTTCTTGGCTCGGGACTTGCCCATGGCGGGGGGGAGGGGCGGGGAAAGAATTCAGGCTCCAGCCGCTTCCTCGTGCCCGGCCCCCAGGCTTCGTGCAGTTTCTCCAGTATTACTACCAGAGCGGCTGTCTGTACCGCTTGCGGGCCCTGGGGGAGAGGCACACCATGGACCTCACTGTGGGTGAGTCGGGCTGGCCGCCCACCTCTGGAATCCTGGTGGGGAGCTGGGAAGGCAGAATTCTTTCCTCCACATCTGGGTCAGCGTGACGGCGGCCACATCTGTCCTTGGTTATTCTGTGCTCTGCCATTTCTACCTCTAGAGGGCTTCCAGTCCTGGATGTGGCGAGGCCTCACCTTCCTGCTGCCTTTTCTTTTCTTTGGACATGTAAGTTGTACCTGTGTGTCCCCGACCAACTGTCCATCCCCTGCTCTGACTTTGGGCTCTAGCAGGCCCCAGGTTTTTGAGTAAAACTTGTCCTCCCTTTCAGTTCTGGCAGCTTTTTAATGCGCTGACGCTGTTTAACCTGGCCCGGGACCCTCAGTGCAAGGAGTGGCAGGTGAGCCCAGGCCCCTGGAGAGGACAGCTGGGAGGGCAGGGCCCTGGCCCCGGTCCTGACCAGATTCCTCCCACCCACAGGTGCTCATGTGTGGCCTCCCCTTCCTCCTCCTCTTCCTTGGCAATTTCTTCACCACCCTGCGGGTTGTGCACCAGAAATTCCACAGCCAGCGGCGCGGGAGCAAGAAAGAATGAGGCTGGGCCTTCCCCTGCCAGCCCCAAAGGGGCTGCTGTGTTGCACCTGTCATGGGAGGGGATGGGAAGTACGTGCGTGTGTATGTGCAGGCACGCACGTGCAGGAGCAGGGCTGTCTCTTCTCTTCTCCCCGGGGGTTTTGTGGGCTCTGTGGGCCCTGAAGGAAGACCTGGGCCTATGTCCCAGCGTGTAAGGAGCTGGGGCCAGAGGCTTAATAAAGGAAGAGAGGCACAGAGGCAGCCTGAGGTGTGTGTTCACCACGGCACAGGTCCTTGGGGCTCCTGGGATCTGAGTTAAGTAGATCCAGGCGGAGGCCTTGGATCCAGTCAAGCAATACCAGCCAAATTCAGAAAACAGAACTTTATTCCAAAGGCCAGAGGTTATTTAAAATAATTTACATCATTGAAAATCACATGGAGGAGCCAGGTCCCAGCTCAGCTGAGAGAAAGAGCCTTTCTCAACAGCCACCGAGGGCCTGGGGCATCGTGAAGTGTGGGGCCCTGTCACCCCTGTCATCTGCCCTGGGGGCTCAGGAGGGCACATCTCAGGCCTGGAGGAGCCCTTGTCCCTAGGCCTGCCTCCCATGGCAAGGCCAAGTGGAAACCTCCCAGGAGGCTGGCAGAAGGGATGAGGAAAGTGATCATGTGGGCAGCAAGTCTGTGGGATGCAGGTGGAGGCTAGGCCCTAGCTCCACACGTCCAGGGAATAGCGGCCCTTGGTCATCAGCTTCTTGATGTAGTCCACGGCCTGAGCGTGCTCCATGGCCCCAAGCTCGGCCACAATGTCATAGAAGGCATTCTGCACATCCCTGGCCATGTTCCGCGCATCCCTGGGGGGAGGAAGGCAGTGGCACTGGGGGTTAGGTGGTGGCCATGCCCGTGAGCAGGCAGGGCCCTGCCCCACCCCTTCCCCCGCACTCACCCGCAGACATAGATGTGGGCGCCCCCTTCATGGAGCAGCTTCCACAGGTGCTCCTTGTCTCTCTTCAGTAAGTGCTGGACATAGACCTGAGGGGCAGCAGGGGACCCGTAAGGGAGGGCCTGTCGCCACAGCCCTGTCTTCTCTGGGGGTGGTCTTGCCCAGCCACTACTGGAGCAGCCTGCCCCACCTCACCTTGTGGGGCTGCTCTCGGGAAAAGGCCACGTTGAGCTGGGTGAGGGCACCGTCCTTGTGGAACTGGGCCAGCTCCTCGCGGTACAGGTAATCCTCATCTGACCGGCGGCAGCCATAGTAGAGTAGCGTCTCCCCCACCTCCTTGCCTGGGTGGCACAGGCCAGAGTGAGATGGGCTCCCCAACCTGCCACCGCCCTGCCTGCCCAGGCCCCACATGCTCACCCTGCTGCTGCAGCCAGGCCCGCTCCTGGATGAAGCCTATGAATGGGGCAACCCCAGTGCCAGGGCCCACCATGATGACAGGTGTGGTGGCCTTGAAGGGCAGGCGGAACTGGGACTTGCGCACAAACATGGGCACCAGGGCCTGGCGGCCATTCTCTCCGGCAGGCTCCTTGGCCCTCAGCCAGCTGGTGGCCACGCCCTTGTTGATGCGGCCAGACTTGGTTTCATACTCCACAGCCACAGCACAGATGTGCACGGAGTTGGGGTGGACCTGGAGGGCGGCCGGAGTGAGCACAGCTGATGTGTGTGCCATGCCCTTTCCCAGCCCTATCACTGAGCTTTGTCCTACAGGCAGTCCCTGCTCAGTGTCTCTTTACACCCTTCCTGGTGCCCAGACCTCTTCACAGACCCCTTTCCAAGCAGCTTTCCTGACTGGCTGGCAGGACTAGGGCTGGAGGCAAGTTGGCAATCTTCCTGCCCAGCCCTGCTGAGTCCCCAGCCCTGATTCTTCAGGAAACTGCCCCAGGCACTGGGCGGGCTGGACTGTAGCGCTGCCTGCTGAGCAGGGCCAGGCCTCCAGCACGGGGCTGGCCCCCCACAGCCATCTGGGCCTTACCAGCAGAGAGGCTTCCCCCTCACCTTGGAGGACGAGGCGATTGAGTAGTAGCGGGCCTGTAGGCGCGGCAGCAGCTCACACAGGTGGTCGATGGGGGGCCGCAGGGACGGGTAGTCCTGCAGGATGGCCAGGATATGCCTCCGAGCCTCCACCACCCAGTTCAAGTACAGCTCCTGGGAGAAGATGCAGAATGTGTGGGGTGAGCCGTGAGAAAAGACGGGGACAGGGCTGAAGGTGGGGTCCAAGGAGCTTGGAGAAAGGTGGGTGGGGTGGCTGACGGGGTGCTAGCCGGGGCTGCAGGGCTGGAGGCAGGTAGGGTGTGGCAGGCTCACCTTGCCCTCGCCCGAGGAGGAGGCCATCTTGCGCAGGTGGTCTTGCTCAGAGGGCTCCGAGGCATACTGGGCCAGCTCATAGAGCACGTTGGTGCGCGGCGGGTTGGTGATGTCCAGGTAGTAGGTGAGGGCCGTGCGGTAGGAGGTGGGGCAGGGGAATGGGTGCTTCTTGTTGGACTCTTCTGCAGGGAGAAGGCAGGCAGGATTTGGGTTAGTGGCTGCCACCTGGGGATGGAGATGCTGTAGGGGGCAGGGTGAGGCCTTGGGGCTATTCTGCAGAAAGCAGGTGTCCCTACTAGCACTGGAAACAAGGCTGGCTCTCTGTGTGCCTCCTTGGCCCTGGGGCAGAGCGTCAGGATTTCAGCCAGGCCTTCAGCTTCAGGCCAGACAGGAAGTCCTCAGCAGAGGCGGGGTCTTGCTTGAGGAGGCAGTGCAGGGCACACACATGTGCGTGCTCCACTGCCAGCAAGCCCAAGCTTGACACAACCAGCCCCTTTTGTGGGCTCCACTAAGGGCTCATTCAGGAACTAGAGAGAAGGGACAGCCCAGCTTGGGTCACCAAGGACATGAGTGAACAGGAGCCAGGTGAGGTAGGGCTGGGCCCAGGTCAGTGGTCAGAAGGGAGTGCCGGGGGTTCACTGCAAGAGGCTAAGGCTGGGCAGCCCCATGAGGCCCCAGGAAAACTCAGCACCGTGTGTGTGCTTCTTGGTGTGCTGAGCCCCCTTGATGGCCTGGAAAGGCTGTTAAGGTCGCCAAATCTGATCCCTGCATTTTACCAGCGAGGAAATGGAGGCCCGGGAGCAGGAAGGGGAGCCCCAGGCCCACGGCAGTGTGGAGCCAGGCCCAAAGACCAGGGCTGTGCCTCCAGGCTTCAGGCACCTTCCCTCCCTAAAAGACTATGACAGTAATGGGGGGGGGGTAACCCCAAGGGAGAGGGCCAGACCCCAAAGCTCCTTTGCCTCCCCCAGGTTTGCTTCAGAACCTATAACTGTGGAGTCTTGGGTGTAAGGGCCTCTCAGGCACCAGGGCTTCAGGCCCATGCAGAAGCTGCATCTACAGGTCTTGCCAAGAGGCCCGTTTCCCCCAGCCACCACACGCCCCAGGCCTGGACTCCAGGGCTCACCATCAAGATTGTTCAGGGACATGATGACGTCCAGGTCAGCACCCAGGATCTCACCAAGCTGGTTGACAAGGGCAGAGTCATTGGCTGGGTAAACGGCCACGTGGTCTCCAGATTCATACCTAGAGGCAGACACAAGGCTCAGGAGGTGGGCAGGAGGCTGGCTCTGCCCTCGGATCAAGAGGCCCGAGTAAAGGTTTAGGGAGGTGGCAATGGCAGCAGCTGGTACCTGATTTTGGAATCTGAGATGTCTAATTCCAGGTGCATGAGGTGTCGCTCCATTCCCTGGTTCAGCTTCCGGTTGGTGGTGACTGTGGCCAGGAATGGATTCTTGGCATCAAAGGGGCTGGGTGGGAAGAAAAGAAGCTCACTGACTGGCCAGGTCTTTGATCTGAATCTCCCTGTTCCCCAGGGACCTTCTGCTTACACAAAACACAGAGAACCTCAGAGTTGTCTGGGGGTCCTCTGGGCCTCCTAGGGCCACGGGGAAACCTTACCAATCATCTCAAGGGCCCTCCCAGCCTGATCCCATGCAGTGCTCCCAACAACCCCACAAAGTGGGCAGAACTAGGTTATTAGTGTCCTCATTTACAGATATGGAAACTGAGGCTGGCTCCTAAAAAACCTGTTAGGCCCTCCATGCGCTGTACCCATTAGTGGGCTAAGCACACACAAGGGCCAGGCCCCAGGGATGGAGCCACAGATGGAAGGTGCCTGGTCCTCCAGTAACTGTGGAGCTCACCTTCCTTACCCCCACATGCCCCAGACTGTAACACAAACAGGAGAGAAGATTCTCCTTTACAAAGTCACTGAAATGCTGGGGTTGCTCGTTCCCCAGGGTTCCAGCAGGACTGATGAAAGCAGCGTTGCTGGACTTGAATCTCAGTGGCACAAGGACTTTGCTGGGGCGGCTCCAGCAGGAATCTGGGCAGCACACAGGGGTAGTCAGGGGCCCAAGAGAGGAACATTATGTTTTTGGACAAAAAGTCCATAGATTGCAGCTTTTAAGGAAATGAACCCTTTTGCCAAAGTTCAACCTGGACACAAAGCCGAACTACTGTGTCCTTGTCCAAGAATGGGTATTGCACCCGCTGCCCAGGATATTTATAGAGCAAGAGACGAAACAAGCAAAGTGCAAATGGAACGAGTGCCAGTCTCTCAGAGGCCGCGCCCCAGACTGAGGGTAATGGGGGAGTGCTGAGGGTCCTGGGCGTGGAGCAGCTGCCTGCTTCTGCTCTGGGGCTCACACCCTCCTGTGCAGTGGGCATGAAAGTGTGGATGTCCACACCTGCGCCCACTCACAGGATGGGGTCTGGGGAAGGCCCTGTGGGGACATAGTGGCCTGAGCTATTTGCTGTCCCTGGCTATCTGCAACATGAGTGCACTGAGCGCCACAGGGCCACCGGCCCCCAACCCTCCCTCTACTCACGGTTTCTGGTTCTCATAGCTCTTCAGACGGCCCATCTCGCCCAAGTACACCTTGGCCATGTCTATGTCTGTGTGGACCACAAGCTCATACTGGCGAATGCTGGAAAGGGGAGACCACAGGGGTCAGTCCCAAGAGAGAGGAGGGGGCTGGACTGTAGAGGAGACAGTGCATGGTGTGAGGGTAGGACTCAGCTATGACTCTGGAAGCCAGGGAGACCCTGCAGCAGAGGCGTGCGGGTGGGGCAGGCAGGACAGCAAGGAGAGGTGCTGGTGCCAGGCTGTCCGCAGTCAGATCCCCAAGAGCCGTGCAAGGGTGGGCTGGCCTCGATGGGGTTCCGAGAGAAGCATGGAAAGCCCTCCCCCGGCTCCCATCATTTTCAGGCAGAGCCCAAGCTCCTTAGCCTG